GGAGGGCGCGCGCGCGGCGGACGCGCTGCGTCAGGGGCTCACCTGGGAGGTGGAGAGGGTGCTGCGGCCGAAGGTGGTCTGGGAGCGCTCGAGGTCGTGGCGCAGGCGCTCGTTCTCCAGCTCGAGGCGCGCGAGGCGCTGCTTGGCCGCCTCCCAGTCGGCGCCGCTGCGGCCCACCTCGCTCGCCGCCTTGTCCAGCTCCGCCTTGCTCTTGCCCAGCTCCGACTGCGAGCTCTCCAGCTTCGCCTCCAGCCGGTCCTTCTCGGCCTGCGCGCGCTCCAGCCGCGCGCCCAGCTTCTCCACCTGCGCGCCCACCGGAAGTTGGGACCAGCCGGACGGCCGAGGCTGAGTTGCGTATAAATATATGTCGCCAAAAATATCCCTGGGCGCTCGGTAAGCTTATGGAAAGGGGATCTAGTCCCCGGAGAGAAAAAAGAGAGAGAGAGAAAGAGAAAAAATACTCGGTATGGTCTGGCCATACTGAACTTCCATGTTAATGGGTCGCGTTGTTACAATTCCTACATATTCTTAACATCTTATGAAGAAACGACCAGAAAGAGTTCCCATTCTAGACTTACAACACCCTATCCAACCGATATAGAGAAACTACCAAAAATAGATCGCCTGTTATTTTATGACGACAACTCGGCTTTCATCCAATATTTAAAAAAAATCGTTTTACAGGTGAAGTTCGACACGTTTTTTTTTTTGTTTCCTTCTAAATCTAATGGCTGATTCTCGATCAAAAATATTCCTCAAAAATTCCTTCACATAAAAAATAGCAAAAATAGTGGCAAAAATAAGCAGGAATCGTAAACCTTTTTCCTGATTGCCATTGCAGTTTTTCATCTTCGCTTAGAAAAAATTCATTCAAAATCTTTGTCTGCATCTTAAGAATTATTGTTAATGTTGTTACATTACTATCTTGACATATTACCTTTCCCAGGCGTTACATTTTAAGCAAGCATGATAAGTAAGATTACTAGCAGCACTCTCATAAAACGTTTATAATACAATATTGTAGTCGTATGTCTTACATTTATCAAGGTTCCGAAATGTGCTACGGGAGTATCAATTAAGCAGTACTAAAAATTAGCCGTCCAATTGTAACAACTTTTCTACGGTTCCTAGCGCTTATATTTAAATACTTATTTCCTCTTTTATCGCCCCGTCGCCAACCTTTCTTCCATTAACATGGAAGTGAAAGGGCATCATGCTGTAAAAAGCGAATCTAGGGAACCTTCTGCGAAGCCCATCGTGCAAGCCAGTTGGTGCGAAGCGGAGGACATGTTGCTTTTAGCTGCGGCTACAAGATATTTGAGTTCTCATTCACGAACTAGTTAACCGTGTTTCTTCACGAATACTCCAGTTTTTCTTGTAATTTTCTCTTCGAAAAATTGTATGCATAAAATTAACGTCTTGAGGACAACATGTTGTGGAAAAGTAAGTTCTAAAACGGACGCAGAGTTTTCGGAAGTGAAATATATTTCAACCAATACCAGATGGAGGTTTTTGCAAGATATACTGATTTCCTAAATTCGTGAAAATTGCATTGCTTTCCTTATTTAACTCCAATTATTAATTTGTTGATATACGTTACCATAATATTCGCTTCGCACCAATAAAAACATGCCGCCAGCAAAGAAAAATATATATTTTAGTGTTTCACATTGTGCAAATTATTATTATTTTTGCAAGAGCTTCATATAAAAACGTAAACTGCTTGACATTTGATTAGCTCGAATAAACAAACTGCACTAAAACTCATTTTAACTAATTTCTTTTGCTTTAAATAAAATGCAAAAGAAGTGAAACACTAATTACGTTATCTATGATCTGAATGTTGGAACTTTTAGGATACTGCATTACAAAACAATGAAAAAAGGCTAGCGAAAAAAAGAGACATTCATCCATTGGCGAAAAATACTAGAGAAGCCATTCAGTAGTTGGTATTCGTACCCATTGCAAAAAAATGCAAGCTTCTCGGATGCAATAGCATTTCTCACTCGTAGAAAATATTAATTTAGTATTCTACGCGTAGATGAAGAAAAAAAACATTCCTTTCTTGCCAAAAGAAAATATATCCCAAAGACTATGAGCTCTGTCGATTCTTTCCATAATTCCGCTTGGGTTTTGAATAAGAGAATCGATTCGAAACACAAGCTCTTTCAATTTTCTTTCTAGCGAGCTACTTTTGAAAGCAAGCCACTCTAAGATGTAATCCTAGATAAAGAGAGAAGGGCCAAAAATAAAACCAAGAACGCTCGCTGCAGATGGATCGGATAATGGAGAAGAGCGAAGGATTAACAGAGAGCTTCGCGCAGTCGTAAATCTTCACTAGGAGGCCTTAAAGGATTTACCGAGAAACACCCTAGGAACACCGATTACTTTTTGCGAGTCTTGCGTAAATAGCTTATTCATTCTAGGCCACTACGCGAGGAAAGAACTAAGTTACGACGGAGTTCGATGCGTGCACGAAAAGGGGTAGCGGCAGGTAAAAGCAGAGTTTGAGAGGTCGAAGGCCTAGCACCAACGTTAAACCTTGCTTCGTGACTCAGTTTATAGCAACCGCTACTGCCTCATAACAGCGCCATTTTGTGCAGACGGGTCGCCTCAGTTCACGGATTACGAATGCAACGCCTAAACAACTCCAGTTAAGTCTCTCGCTCTATAACCCGCTTTTACCAGTCCTCTTCCCTCGGTCCCTCTAAGAAGCACTAAAAATCTCCAGCTCCCTTGTAACACGGGCAATGTATTGTTTCGAATTACTTTTCGAACAACTGTTTCCAGACTCATTTTTTACCATATATTTATCACGAATGCTGCTACTGGACTGATGTCTATCAATCTTTTACTATACGATTGTGATACATTTGTTTGCATGACTTTTGACCTTACGTGATACTTTGCCATATGTGAAAGAAGTTTTGCCTAGAGGCGAAAGAGCGTGTAAAGAAGTAAGAGAGACAAGAAAGCTGCTTCCTCTATTCCACTCACGCTTCTCCTCAACGAAGACTTTTCCTGGAGTCGACCTTCGCAGTTGATAAATAAACCACAAACCACCCACATAGAGAAAGAAGAAAATTAAAACGAGAAAGCAAATACTCTCTACGTTGATCCTGACTAAATTTACGCGAAACCGTTTTTAACTGCACGTCTACATTATTCAACCAGATAGATTAGATTAGATAGCGAGGAACAATACGAGAGAGCGGTCTGTGTGTCGTAGGTTCATTTTTCACCTCCAGAACGAATACAGATCAATGGCGATAAACAAGAGCGAAAACAATTACAGCTTTTGTGTTCGAGAATGGAACATGTCATTTCCTGGCTGACCTCGAAGTCGTAAATTTCTTTAACTGGAGGATTAAAATCAAATGAACAACACTGATAAGAAAAGTTGAACTGGTAATCAGCACATATCAATTGTTTATATTGACACAAACAGGTAACTTCTAAGGGAAGAACAAAACGGTTTTGAAAGATAGAGCTCGTACATTTTAAAGTGGAACAATTGCATATAATTGCTAATAATTTCATTTTAATAGCATATTATCTGATTTTCATGTTTTTCATATAAAAATATTCAGGGAGGTATTAGAGATATTGAAAAAGTGAACATTGTGCATATATGCTATTTTTTCGTGGTAAATTCTTTGCCATGAATATCGGTTGTTGATGTGCCTAATATAACCTGTATTCTACTATTTTTCACAAGAACGTACCTGGAATCTCTTATTTAAGTGTAAGGGTGGAGAAATTTGGCGTGCCAAAACTCGAACTCAACGAACAGACGATCGATACCGATGGGGGATACGACCGTAGAGCTGGGACAGAGCCAACTCAATATGGCTGTATTTGACGGTATCTCTCCACCGAGCCTAATACCTGACTTTTGTTCTTCGACCAATTTACATTCCCAATTTACTCTGAAAATTGAAGGCATAGTAGCATGCAGTAAATCCGAACAAGTTAGAGATAATTGTTGCTCTATTACCAACATAAAATGTCAAAACGAGAGCTTTTTGTTAGGTCTAATTCAAATGTTGCTTTGGGACAACAGGCGGAAGATATTATTTTTATTCCAGTTAACGGTATCCTTATGACTTTGGCCTCGCGTTTCCGATCATCGCTTTACAATTGAAATTATTGTAGTCACACGACATAAATTTTGAAGCAATGTGTTTTTTTTTGTAGACGTACAGCACAGTGTCTCAAATTTTAATTGTTTCTGCGGGTTGTTACCTAATGCCAAGTCCCATTACAGTAACGCGATCCAACACTGAATGCTAACTTCTTAACTGAGATATTCAACTAATAGTTGTTTAAATAATTACAATATCATCTAAGTTTGATAACTATAACAATGTCGCAAGGAATTTTGGTTTGACATACGAACAATATTTAGCAGGATTTCGCACAGGTAAAATAAACATCATCTTCGAAAAAACGTCTAAGGATTTGAATTTATTGTATACGAAACTATTGTATTCGGATTTATTTGTATGTTATTGTACTTGTTCCACACCACCTGTTTAAAATCTCAGCAGTAAATTGTGTCAAAACTTTTCCATTAAAACCCACTAATATAGATTTAAACACTATAATAATTAATAGAAGAATTAATATAAATGTAAAACTTTCTTTAAAATCTAGAAAATCAGATTTTTAAAACATTTTGTAAAGAACACAATACGAAAGAAGAAGAATATTAGGTAAACATTTACGAATATGAAACTGATTTTGATGTAATGACGATTCCTAAAAAATCAAAAGAAAATTTAAAGAGATTCCTCCTTGAAAATACATAGTGACAATTCCGTGTTAAGGTGAGCATTGAACGCTTTATATTAAACATTGAAAACCGTTTAGAATGGAAGAAATAGATATTTTCGTTTATATTTCGAAAAATATCTTCCCAAAAAGGATTAATTTACAATGTCCTAAAATAGTGCCCTGCAATGTAATTTTGAATTATTCATTACTGTCCATTACGGAATATATCTACTTTATCCAATTGAGAATAATGTGTGCCGACGATTTCTATCGTTCGCCATTCTAATGTTCAGTATCTATAACGCGAAGTTCACCCTGCAAGTCATGCGATATCCAGAAAAGGTAAGGCCATGTTGCTTACTTTAGCATTTGCCATTACAAAGTCTAACTGAGTTGACCCGAGCGTCCATACAATTCATATGGATATGAGATGTCAAGCTACATCCGGTTGCATACTGACGCACTGTTCGTAATGATATGCTATTGCGACTCAGACAGAGGGGACGCCTTTGATATACTTAAGGTGATAAAAAGAAAACTGATTTCATTACCGTTAACCTGTCTTTACAATCAAGCCACGCCAAGACATTTCAATTAGGCAGTTACAGTTTTATTACGATATTAATATTTTTACTATGTACCTACGGGAATAAAGACTGCTTCTCGTCTGGCTATTGCTGATATAATACTTTTAATTACATAAAATAAAAATATTCCTCTTTTTACTATAAACTGATTACACTAAAACCACTTCTAACTTACATACATGCATCTCATTATATTGGGTTTGTTACTATTTAATAATAAATGCAACAAATGTAGCTTTGGAAATATTACATAATCTAATTCTTTCTTTAATATGGGAGATCACATATCACTTTTACGTAAAAAGTAGTTTCGGTTTGGGCGATTTCATACAAGTAGACTTTTCTGTATAGGGCAAGTTTTTTGTCATTGGAATAATACTTCCCCACCTCTAATTTTCCGGCACTCTTCAACGCCAGCCTGGCGAGTGAACTCCTGACGAAAGATTGAACAAATAAAATAAATGACTGATTCACACTGGTATCAACGCTGAATTTTCTCTCACTCTTCGAATGTATTATGCTGTAATTTGTTCATTGAAGACCAAGTTATCAAATTTAGATTCAAAAGATTGCGACTTCATCATCCTTGCTAATTGATTGCATCTCACCAGCCTTTATAGTAGTGTGTCTTTTATTTATATACAAGAAGATGGATCTATGAAAACCTAGAATTGCCACCTCAGACATTTGAGAAACGTATTTCTTACGACAAAAATGTATATTCCAAAAAAATCTAATCGAATTCCCTAACATTATCTTGAATTCATGTGAGTACATTTTCATCTCAATATCTGAAGATGGAACTTTCAAAACTTCGAACTGACGCCAAGAACCGTTTTTCAATAAAGCAAATTCCCTCGCAACATCTGAAGATGAATCTACAAAAACACGAATCAAACCCTAAAAAAGTTTGGAATTTTGGAGACGAATTGCCTTCTGACATCCGACAAAGAATATTTCCAAATAGTGATTGACGTTCAAGGTTTTTTTTAATCCTTGGAAACCATTCCCTCCTACTATTGAAGATAGATCTTTTAAAACTTAGAAACGGCACCTAACATCGTTTTGGATCCTTAAAAACCGACTCCTTCCCAAAATTCGGTCTCCCTCCCGACTCGCCAGTTCCCCAGCTCGTGCAGCGTCGACACATAGGAACTGACTTCACTCATCAGCTTCTGCACTTTCGAAATTTTTGGAAACGAATTCGCTCCTAGCTTCCCAAGAAGAATCTTTAAAAACATCTATTGGCGCCCAAGACTGCTTTAACCATTGGGATCCGATTCTCTCCTACCCAAGACGAATCTTTGAAAAACATTTATTGGAGCCTAAGAGTGCTTTAACCCTTGGGATCTGATTCTCTTCTACCCAAAACGAATCTTTGAAAAACCATCTATTGGTGCCTAAGAGTGCTTTAACCCTTGGGATCTGATTCTCTCCTAATATTGGAAAATATATCTTTCAAAGCATAGAATTGGCGCCCAAGAGTGATTTAACCCTTGGGATCTGATTCCCTCCTAATATTTGAAAATGGATCTTTCAAACGACAGAATTAACGCCCAATTGAATTTTGAACCCACGGGACCCGATTGCCTCCCAAACCAGGAAGAGAGATGGCTCAGCCCCGATCCGTCCCCCTACCCCCACCCTCCGGCTGCCCGGCCCATGCAGCGTCGGCGCGCGGGGACTGACCTCGCTCTCCAGCGCGTGCAGCTTCATCTTGTACTCGGCCACCTCGCGCTCGTGCAGCTCGCGCTCCTCCTGCTTCTCCTGCTCGGCGCGGTCCCTCTGCTCGCGCAGCTGCGACATCTGCTTCTCCTTGTCGCCGATGGCCTCCTCCAGCGAGCTGAGCGCGCCTTCGTTGGTGCAGCGGTGCGCTTGCATGGCGGTCAGCCGCGCGCGCGCCATGTCCACCTGGTTGTCCTTCTCCTTCAGCAGGTCCTCCAGGTTCTCGATCTGGGGGGCGAGGGGGGGTGCGAGAAGCGAAGTTTAGCGCCGGAGGTGAGGGCGGGGCGCGCGGGAAGGCGTTGGGCTACTCACCAGAGGGCGCGCGGCGCGGGCGCTACGCTACCAACGGGAAATACAGCGTCGTGCGGGGGCGCGGCCCCGGCGGCGGCGCCGGCCGGGGCGTCGCGACGCCGAGCGACAATCGGACGCCGCCCGCGCAGTGGGCGAAGCCTTGCGCTCGCTGGACACAGCGCTACGAGAGTGCTTGGGTTACTTGGCGGAATAACGGGAATATGTTGGCCGAAATCAATTGTTAGATCAATATTTTGTTATATCATTGTTGGCATTGTATACAACTTTTCGTATTACTGGTGTATCAACATAACACGAATAAATACAAAAAATGAGAGATACACTTAACGACCGGCGGCCGTTAAGGATTTTAACACTTCGGCAACCATTAAGAACAATCGGCACAAAGGAATTGTAGCTAAAAATGGCGTATTCGTGTTCTCATTCAAAGGAAGATATTTTTCTAATTTATTTGAATTTTTATGATAATAAAGTGGTATTACGAAAAGTATAAAACCACACATAGTTGTTATCAGAATTAGAATTGGTTTCTTATAAACGTGGATTATTGCTTCAGTTAACAAAACTTCAACCGCGGCCGATAAATTGTTCTATATCGGCCTGTTGACAGAAATAACTTTTTTTTTCAATCAATGGAAAAGTAGCTTTGGTGGCTTAGTCGTCATCACCTGATCTGTCAGGAGTCAAAACAACGTAGTCGAAAGCTGCTTATCTACGGAATGAAACCAGTTGGTCAGCACACTAACCTCAATAATTAACTGATTGTTGAGGTTAGATTTATTGTTTAATAAAATGACTCAAAGTGCTTAATTATAAGAAAAATAAGAGATGTATTCTATTGTATGGGAATTTTGTTTCGAATTACGTAGAAGTGCAATGGGCGAATCTCAGGAAAATTTCAAATTTAAAAAGAAGATTGGTTAAAGGATTATTACGCACTTTATAAATATGCATCATCCCCTGCATCATCCTGTTTTTTCGCATGCTGAGCAATTTCCAATCGTTAGGAGTCGTACACTGTTATACAATATGTTTCTATTAGGCGGACCGCTAGTATTGTTTTGTTAAATATTTAGGTATGAACGATCGAGTATAATGCCACATTTTACGACTTGAATGTCGTCACACTTTAGATTACAATAATTACTTATTTTATTCGAGTTTTTTTACCGTTTCGTTCGGAGTCTGTGTCCAGCGAGAAAACAACATTCGACCATTGCGCTAAGCCTCCCTGGGAGGTTGGCTACCCTTTCGCAGGGTACCAACCGCCCGGGGCGACCCGGAAACGTGGAGCCCCTGCGGCATGTCGCTCGGGTCACGACACACGCGGCCGGCCCGCCGACCGAGCCTAGGGGAAACAAGAGGTCTACAACACAAGACAGCAGTGCGGTAAACCATACAACTGAAATAAAACAAACTTTTCACCTTGGTGCACTTTATTGATATACAAAACAATAACAAGAGGTACAAAAATAAAACAAGCAATATTGCGCTAGCGTGGACGTTGGAAGCACAACGTCCACCGTACGGTGCGGCAGCGGCAAAAAATAAAACAGAAACATTCACACTACTCTTCTGCACGGCTGTAATCGCCGCGTTCGCGGACGTCGCAGAAACAATATGGAAACCATAAACAAAGAAGATGAGGCGTCGCTCTACAGCGTGTGTGTGTGTGCGTGCGCGCGGAAAAATCCATGCCAAAAAACCATAAACACCAACGCAATAACGTAAAGCTCGGGGTTCGCGCGCCGACGGCGGTCGCGTTGCTGTAGCTCTATCGGAGAAGCGTCTATCCGTATAAATCGAACGTCTATGCTAGGCGCCGTGCAGGGCGGCCGGCTGCGGGCCATACCTTGCGCTGGAGCACGTTGATCTTGCGGTCCTTGATGTCCATGTGGTCGCGCAGCTCGTTCAGTTCGTTGCTGAGGCGGTTGCGCTCCTGCTGGGCTTGGGTGGCGGTGAGCGTCTTCTTCTCGATGTGTCGGTTCTTCTCCTCCAGGCGCTGCCGCAGCTCCTCCACCTGGTCATACGAGCACGACGACGACGACGCCCACATGAGTGTGT